GCCTCTCATTTATCTTACTACAATTCTATTATGTGAGTTAGGCTGTGAGATAATAAGTCATGAAAGCAGCTTCGTAAAAATAAGCAAAATAAGAATTTGAATTCAGAGATTCCATTTTCAAATTATTTTGAAAAAGAGGAATTGGATTCAGTTGAAATACTGATGAGTAAACAGACTTCATACTTTTCCTGTTTGCCAGCACCATGAGGTAGTTGTGTTATGTCAAAGCACCCCTCAATTACTGGATACAGCAAATGAACCTTATTTTTAAATGTAGACGTGGCTTGAAGCTTTGGTAGTGACTCAACCGGTGCACAATTTGAAAAAGTTATATTTGGAAAATGTCATGTTTTAACGTTCATTTTCATTTGGTGCTGTTTTTCATGCGAAATAAGTCAACAAGGAGCCTAGTGAGAGCCAACATACTGTACAGCCTGCCAAGATGGACTGCTGAGCTTCTGTACATTTGTGCTGGCTTCTGATTTTGTAGGTTGCTGCCAGGCTTCAAGTAGAGTAGTCACATCTCTTTGCATGGGGAGCTTGGCTCTTGTTTGTCAAGACTGGCTGCCAGTTTCAGGTGATAATAATACCACCTCAATTTCCATTTTCCCCCATTTTGTGGTCATACAATATTGCCTCCTTTTTCATAGTCCATCTCTGGACACTGAACTTCATATTCGTACAGCAAAAAATAAAAAGGAATCTTCCAGTGTTTTGAAATTAAACATGTATTATTTAGCATAAGCTTTTGAACCCACCCTTTTAGAAAACTTATGCCTAACAACAACATGCCATCAAGTCAATCCTGATTTGTGGCAACCCTTTCTAGGGTTTTCTAGGTACAGAGTACTCAGAGGTTGTTCACCTCGGAAGACTAATACAAATCTCCCATCTCTAGTTGTAAATAGAGTAGACTCATTTGAATCAATTAAACCTGACTAACAAAATCCCCACTATTTCAATGATCCAACATTAGTGCAACTTACTAAAATAAGTAAAGTAACAGGATTTCATCGACTATATTCCTCCAGTGGAGTCTATCCCCCTCTTCCATGAATACATTTCATTTTTTTATTCTCTTCTCCCTGAAATCCATATTATCCTGATACCGTCTTAATAGTGTATTATTTCAGTTTTGCCTAAAGATTGTCCATGTGACTTTGACCATGGTTTTAATGCAGTGTGTATTTGCTCTGCCCTGTAGCATAGATGTATATTTTTTTCCTCTGTCTTACAAGAGTGCTGTAAACCTTCTGTCTTTCCTCTTCTATTTACAATGGACAAATGGCTCTTTTTAATGCCTCCTTTGCTGATTGCTCTATTGCCACAGAAACACATTAAAAAATGTAAGGAGTCCTGGTATATCGTAAATGCAAATGTCATTTCTGGTTTCAAGAAAATGGTCCTTGAACTAGTGTGCTGAGTGTGTTTTAGATGTTTTAGTTGCAATTGAGCTAACCTTTTCTCCTCCAAAGAAGAATTCATTCATATACTTTCTGTCACAGAGTTCTCATACTCTTCTCCTGCTTATCTTGGGGCTTATTTTCTTCAAGGCAAAATGTTTTCCATAGTTTTGTGCTTTCTTTGGTAAATAGCTAATATGGCACTGATGTCAACTGAGGAAATTGTTGTCAAGAACAGGAAAAGCCAGAAGTTGAATTGCCCAGTTCCTTCAAAATAGGAAACAGCTTGGAGTTCCTTTGGAAGTGTCGAGAGCTGCATTTGCTGACAGTGACGCTCTGTGGCCACTGGCATAGACTAACGTTTATGTGGTCCCATTGAGAGGCAGATGCAACTGTTTTACATAAGTGCATTCACATACACATAGAGATGAATAGGTGAACAGAAATATCAAAAATGCATTGTTAAAATTTCTACTGATTATCATCACTGCTCCCCCCTAAAAAAAAAAACAGTGATTACTTGTTTTTTATTGAAGTTGTCCATTTGGTTTGTACTTCACAAACTTTTCAAGGTAAAATTTGGACATTGTGGGGTGTTTTTACAGTTTCAAAAATGGCCCCTGTCATCCTAAAATAGCACTGCGGTTCTCATTTCACTTTTAAAATTAACTTGGTTTAAAAGATACTCTGAATCTGTTTGTACTAACCCCATTAAAGTCTACATTCAAGGCTGGTTTACGTTACTTTTTATATGCGTTGCTGCATTCTCATCTAACAGTTAAGGATATTATGATTCTAAGAACCAACCCACATGGATTGTTCACATTCTGCCTCTGTGGAGAATTATGTTTTGTCCAGTGCTTTGCTTGTGATGTGTGTGTGTAAATAAATCAGTGTTAATTTTTATTAGAGACCCATGACAATTATACTGCTCTAGAATAAAAATAGTATTGTACTGTTACTAGAAAACAAATTCTGAAGCCTGTTATTGAAGAGACTTTTGTGTAAAAATAATCTGTGAGAGATAATCAGGAATGGGATGAATTTGGTCATATATTATTTCATATTGGGTGGTAACATTTATAAGAATTCATAAGTTACTTTAGAAATACTTTACTGCCATGTAGAAGAGCAGATCATTCTTTTTCTTTCAATAAAATCCTTTCTTACTTGTCTGGCAGCACCAAACACTGAACTCTTCTACATTTTCAGTAAAAGAATACACCTATTGAATCATTAGACTTCCTAATTTAGGAGTTGGACCTCTCCTTACTATCTTATTTGTCTGCTAAAGTCTGCATCCTGTTCTTAATCATAGATGATGGATGGGAAACATTTAGAGAACAAAGCCAGCTCATTATTGAGATTGCCTTCTCCCTACATGTTTATAGAGCTGAATCGCTGCCTGAATGCAAGGAGGAAGTGAAAGAACTCCAGAGTCTAGGGAAGTAAGACTGAATGTCTTTTATTTGCCAGATGGTTGTACTCCAGACCTAATGTAATCACAAGAAATGTCCCCAAAGACCCAGAGTGTGCCCTTTGACATCCTGTCCAGCATCAGTGGTATAATGTCCTAGTAGTCATTCAGATACAGCTGGCATTATACTGAATATAACTAAGAGGCTTGAATCTCACTTAGAACAGACCAAGTGTCAAATTTCCGTGTTTGTGTGTGTGTTTGTGTGTGTGTGTGTGTGTGTGTGTGCGCGCGCAGAAAATATTTGGAGAAATGAAAAGATAATGGGCTACAAGAAGCAGTAACAGTGGTTCTAAACTTTTTTATGTTTCATTGATCATTCTGTCAAAGAACCTGAGACCCTAAAAAAGTTTACATGTTTTATGCTTTCTGTCATTAGATTTATTGACCCAAATTCTGCTGTTTAACGTAATAAATTGCACTAGAGTAGGTCCATTGAATCAATACGGATTTTGTGAGTCAACTCTTCTGTAAATTCCATTGACTCAGATTGGGCCTACTCTAACTGCAATTTGCTATGCTACAGTGAATCAAAGTTATAAATTGGCCCATTTTAATCAATAAAATTTATGGACCAGTTGACTCACTAAATCCCCATTGAGTCAATGGACCTGTAGTAGTACAATTTGCTATGCTGAGGAAAAAGATATTAGTCATTTACAGTTTGCTTTAAGAAGATTAAAAATTGTAGCAATGTCTTTGGGAGTGAACACAAACTAGCAAGAATAATTATTCCAATTTTCAAAATGAGTGGTAATTCAAAGGTGGTCATGTTGCCCTAAGAATTCTGTGAGTTGTAATCCAGAAACACAAATCTCAACTTCTCTAATTATTATCATACTACTGAAATTAAAGGTTACTTCTTAAAACACAAAGACTGATTTAAAATTACAGTTGTATTTGGTGATCGAGCACAAGTGGAATCTAGGTATAGAATACCTGTCTTTTACACAGAACAAACGATATTCGATAAACTTCATTCTCTCCTCCATTGCCTCCCATTTTCTGTGCTTCTTTTGTCCATAACCTCTCACACTGTTAAACTGAGATTCTAAGAGGTCAAAACTACAGTACCAGAATTATTTACAATGAGGTAGCCATGTTGATCTATGTTTTTTTGAAGCAGGAGTACATTCTTGTGCTACTTTAAAAACTGCCAGGTGGTAGGCTACAGATGACAAACGCTGGTATCAAGGTTGTTGTATGGTATAGATATACATCAGCATTTTTGGACTAAGGATGTTGAACAAACCTCTGGAATTAATATTTCGTTCTTTAATGCAATACATTGATAGTCACTAACAATGTTTTCTCTAAGCATGGCCACACAACGCTGCATCAGTGCTGTGCAGCCAAGCCAGTGTTGCCTCCCATTTGCTTCTGGTTGTGGCCAGAAATCCATGTGCACAGGATGGGCCCCCTCCCCAGTGCTGGTGGCAAATTAGAGGGCACATTCATTACTTAGATTATTAGAGAAATCATATTTTGAGAAAATTTATATTATCTGCTGTAGAAATCACATGTAGTGTGACTTTTAAGCGACAACTAAAGACATGGCTGTACGTTCAGGCCTTCCCGCCCGTCAATACTTAATTTCTTTTTTCTTCTCATTTATTTTCTGTTCTATTATTGCATGTGTCACAGACTGTTTGTTAAATTTTTATGGTTTATTGTATATTCTTTATTGTAAGCTACCCAGAGTGGTCGACCAGACCAGATGAGCGGGATATAAATGTTTTTTTTTTTTGTTTTTGCTGCTTTTCTTGCTGTCCTTCATGACAAAGTTGTAGAATTCGTTAGAAATGTTTTATTACAGAATGTCTTATCTCAGCTGATTTAAGCACACAAACCTCAAGCCTGTGATAACAGCCATTCTTTTCTTTTGTCCAATCATTCCTACCCTGTCCCGCCCTTACTTAGCTACCCATTTCCCATGTGTTTTTTTTTGTTTTTGCTGCTTTTCTTGCTGTCCTTCATGACAAAGTTGTAGAATTCGTTAGAAATGTTTTATTACAGAATGTCTTATCTCAGCTGATTTAAGCACACAAACCTCAAGCCTGTGATAACAGCCATTCTTTTCTTTTGTCCAATCATTCCTACCCTGTCCCGCCCTTACTTAGCTACCCATTTCCCATGATGTTCAGCAGTTGCAGCAAGAAAGACTTGGAGAACAGTTTGGAGAAAGGAGTGGGGATGTGTCTTTTCAATCTGCCAGAAGTTAAGGAATCATTTGGTGGGCCTAAATGTGGGAACGGCTATGTAGAAGGAGGAGAGGAGTGTGACTGTGGCGAACCTGAGGTAAGTCTGTCACTATTGCTTTAAATGGAGACTAGAAGTTCCATCTAGTGGTTCCCAACCTTGGGTTTACCAGGTGTTCTTGGCCTACAGTTCCCAGAAACCCTCACCACCACCTCTGCTGGCTGGGGTTTCTGGGAGCTGCAATCCAAGAACACCTGGGTTACTCAAGGTTGGGAACTACTTTATATACCGTATTTTTCGCTCCATAAGACGCACCTTTCCATAAGACGCACCGATATTTTAGGAGAAGAAAACAGGAAAATATAATCTGTTTTCTTCACTCCATAAGACGCACAGACTTTCCACCCCCCTGTTTTGTGGGAAAAAAGTGAGTCTTATGGTGCCACAAATACAGTATATCTTCCTTTTAACATAACTAAGTAAGTAGATGTAAGAATACTCTTTTGTTCTCTGGGGTTTTACCTCTTCCCCACCCGCCTATCTATTCCTTCCTTATTCCCTTGTACCCACACCCCAACCCTCACACTTATTGAAAATGAATACAACTTTTAACTTAAAAAAGTTTGGGAGCTATTCATCTAGAATACTAAGCTATATTATTATCCTAGTGCCACTATTCCTTGATCTCAGCATTCTTTGAAAGTAGTCTAGTTCTCTATCTAACTCATAGGCATGTTGTGTGTATAGGCTGTTATTCCAATATGGTTGGAAAGTGCTTAGAAAATGACTTTCTGGTGCATTTTATGGACTGGAAGAGCCATGCTGAGTGAGAGTTTCTAGAAGCTGTAGTCTAAAAAAGTACATTTTCAACATTCTCCTCTTTCCTTACTAAAGAGGACATCACCAAGAAGATGCTTTTGTCCTTGTACCAACGTAACTTCACAACTTGAGGGGATTCTCTTTAAATTTTTAGCCGTTGATACTTGAAATATGTTGAGACTTAAGGAGGCTTCAAAGTGTTTGGGCCTTTCAGGAAAAACATGGTACTTGAGATATACCGTGTCTAAGCAAAATAATGAAAAACATGGAAAGCAATTACCTTTATGTCACTATCCTGTCTGTTTATCTCTTAAAGATGTTCACTTATCATTTATCAGTAAGGACCTCAAAACACAGGATTAAAAAATTCCCCAGAAGCACATAAAAGACTATTTAAAAACTAACATTTAAAAGTCACTCTCTTTTTTTTGGAAATTTGGTCAAGAACTCTTAAGAGCTGTCTTTGAAATCAGCTTTGCATATCAAAAGCTACACAAATTGGAAATTTGGTCAAGAACTCCTAAGAGCTGTCTTTGAACTCAGCTTTGCATATCAAAAGCTACACAAATCAGTAGAGACTTTTCTGTTTGTCACAAGCTCATCAAGAATGGAGCCAGACTGACTTACATTGAGAGGGAGATCTACACTTGAGATGCTCTTTGTGTGCCAACCAGTTTTCTCATTACCTGTTTCTTGAAATGATGAGACGGTCAAGAACTCCTAAGAGCTGTCTTTGAACTCAGCTTTGCATATCAAAAGCTACACAAATCAGTAGAGACTTTTCTGTTTGTCACAAGCTCATCAAGAATGGAGCCAGACTGACTTACATTGAGAGGGAGATCTACACTTGAGATGCTCTTTGTGTGCCAACCAGTTTTCTCATTACCTGTTTCTTGAAATGATGAGACATGCAGAAACGTCTCTGTTGAAGATCTCAAAGTCTAGGCAAGCTCATATGTGTGAGGAGAGCATCCTTCACACATTTAAGAAACAAGCTGTTTAGAGACCTTTAGCTCCAAACCAGCAAGCTTATTTGAGCTCAGGAGCGAATTGGAAGCCCATTCAAGACTGGCGATATATGGTTTCTAAACAGCACCCCAGACAAAAGGGCTGTGGCATTCCTATGTTTGCCTAAAACTATGCTGTATCCCATCAATTTATTCTGTTTGATATAGATCTGCTAGCACTACAGAAAAACACACAATCATTTATTTGTCCTTCACTTGAACCATGGAGTCTACTGCTGATACTGAATTTTTCCCCCTCTGGGATCATCAGAACTAAATATATCAGAATATGATGGATTTGTCATCCCTGATAAATGTAGCACTGCAGACAAAATAGATTTGGGGACATAGAAATAGCAAGAAGTTTCTACAGCTTTTCCATATAGTTTATCAAACTGATTCAAGTCATAAAGATGTCCTGGTGGTTTTTCTCATTCTTCTGCCAACAAAATTGGAGAATTTGGTTCATCTGCTTGTTTAAAGCCAAAAGAGCACTTGTAGCTTGCAGATGCAGTTCTAACCCATTTATATTTCTCATTTTCCACTCCTGAAGGTCCCTAAAGGCTTTTAAAGTTTTTTTAAAAAAAGCTTAATATTGCCACGAAGCAGTTTGAATTGTGACTTCTTTGTTTGTTTTGTTAAATGCTTTGGAAAATTGGGTCTCAGGTGCGATTGATTTTAGTCCCAATCTTCTACTGTAATCTGTGTGGTACCAGCAAATCCATTCCATTAGTTAATGTTCCATTAGCCAAGCAATTTAGACCAGGAGCGGCACATCAATACCACTCTAATCCTTGAAGGCATCAAGTTGTTCTGTGTGTAAGTCTATGTGCAGCAGTTTGCATGTAAAAGCTATTTTTATTAGGTATTTGAATGAAATTGCGTGGTTTTATTTTATTTTTAAGTCTAGCAAGTGTTTTAAGCTTTCTCTGCTTATACAGAATATTTTTTAAAATGTTGTTTGTGGTCATTAATAAGCTATTTTCCCCAAGCTGAGCCACCTGGGAAGAAAAGCTTTGCTCGCATTAAGTGCGATGCATGTCTTGGTTGCTGCTGATCTTGAGGCATTCAAAGCCTTAAAAAAGAAAGGGGAGAAACATGGAAGAGATGCCCTTCTTTTGAGTACCTGTTAGGGCACTGTTAGAAAGAAAGTGCAGGACAAAGTGGACTTTTCTTACATTCACTTGGTTTAGAATGTCTACCCTTGTACAGAAGCTGCTTTGTTCAGCAGTGTGCAAATTTGAGTTCATGAGCTATCTCTCCTCTATAATTAATGGGTGGACATTTCAGGAGGGGAAAAAAACTAATTTCAGCTAAACAAAACTTCCTAATGATCAGAGCTGTTAAAGTTTTGAACCCAAAACTCAATTTTTGGCATGCTATGGATTCAACTGCAGGTGGTTTCTCAACCAGTCCCTTAAGAAGAGGCAAAGAAAAAATGATTTTTAATAGCTGATGTAGTAGTAGTCTATATACAGTTAAAAATGTTTTACAGGGAACATGATTAATTTGCCAATATCTGGTAAACCACTTTACAATATTGGAAAAGTCAAACTGGAAGGCTTGCTTTGGATTGGTTCCAGTGATCATATACACTGGAACCAGTCCAAACCAGAGCAATCCTACCCTTGCCAGAAAAGTAGAAGCCCTTTGACAGGGAGCAGAAAGGTATGGATTCAAATGGTCTGGAGGCATGCTGGTGCACTCTAGAAAACACATTGTCCGATCACTGTCTTTAAGAGTGCAGCAGCCTGTCCCTGCAGTACTCCAAACAGCAGGCCAAATGGCCCATGTACTCAGCCTGTGTAGGATTCTACCTACATCTTTCTTCCCCTGAAACGTTACATTATGCAGAATATTTACCTGCAATGTAGAAGATCCAAAGAGTTATACCCAATGCTCTCATTTAGTTAGGACAAAATTTCTACCATTTGCAGAAACCCCAGTTCCACCCTTACAAATTTCAATATTTTTACCTCACTTGCTTAACTATTTTCACATCTTTCTATGATAGTGTTATGCTTGTGTTTACTTACGCTAGTTGCAATGCTAATATGAGGGACATACAACTTTTCACAGAACGATGGTAGCTCTAGTACTTGTATAGGACATTATACTGGATGCATTCCAAGTGTATCAGTAGTTTAAACATTATCAACAAGACAAGTTCTGTGAGATATGGAGGCTGTAAATCAGAATGGGGATTGATTACACACTGATCAAAAAAGTGCATAAGCTTTAGCAATGTTCTTGTTTTTCATGTCTCCTTCACAAAGCAATACATGCTTGTTAGCTTATTTTTACATTATATATATATTTTTTATACTTTGTAGATCTTTTCATGAGGTTCTCCAGTACATTTTTTTTTTGTCTATGGTATACTCACTGAAGAGAATCTCCTCCTTTAGGCAAGTCAGCAAATAGTATATTCTGTGCTGTCATTTTGGAACCAACTTAATGCAACCCTAATACAGCTTCCAAAGTAAGTGAGATGTTTAAGGAATGGCTTTACCAGTTTCATTCCACCAGTGAGTTTTGATTGCAGAACAGGGATTTGAACCCGGGTCTCCTGAATCCTGGTCCATCATTCTGTTCCTTAAACCACACTGGGTATCCATTTGTATCACATAGACTTTTGCAATTCCTTCTGGATATTAGATATTCTGTACATTGACTTTTTTTAGGGCAGTTATACTTATGTTTCAAAACTATTGTGTCCAGAACAAAAGAGGGAGCTTTAGAATTTTTTTTGCAAACTATTCCTTTGATTATAGATGAGATCCTAAGTGCTTATTTTCAAAGGCCTAAATCCCTCATAGTGTTAGTGGAAGGAAATAGAACATTATTGGAATTCCACTGGTTTTTCTGGTTGTGTAAGAAGTGGTACATTTCTATTTGTGGTTTGTAAGGCATGTAAGTAGTTCTGCAACTGCCATCTGCATTAGATAACATCCCCATCCCCGATGTATAGCCCAGAAGGAAGAGTCACTGAGTGCAACAGCATTTGTGCTAATGGAATAATATTGTTGGACACTTCTCTAAGACTCATGTTCCACCACATTACCTTTTGTCTTTTCACTCCACTCAATGCAAGTGCTCTAGTTTAATTAGTTGCACATTTGTCCTTATTGGAACAACATACCTTCTTGAGAAAGACTCCAGAATATGAACACTTCCTACAATGTCTGTGTTTAAAATAAAATAATGATAATAAAAAACATTCACAAAGCTTGTTTTCTTTCTCCTTGTATTTCAAATCAGCTTCATAATCAG